TATATAAAGAAGTAAAAGAAAGGGTAGTATTAAAAAAAGTAGCGAGTGTATGTAAGCGATCTACAGTGCTCTTTAGCAGACTCGACGTGACTCTAATGAAGACTAGGAAAGCCGTCACGCGGACAGCAAATTTCGAAACGCGTCACGACGATGAGGGCCCGCTCGACGATCCTCCGCGACAAGAACTGCCAAAACTTCGGTCATCGTCCAGAGCGTCGAGGGGATGACGTTACGTCCACCATCACCTCGATAGTCGCTTAAGCACAACATGCATCATCGGCGCAAGCTCAGAATTTACACAGATCTAACGCTCCGTAGACGCAGCACCGCGGTATGCAGGATTCGTAACATACCGCGAAAGTGCGAGCCTTTAGGACCTCACGACTCGCCCTCTTTACTCTCTTTTCCGTTTCGTTTCGAGAGGGGGTCCTGACATACGGAGATTAGAGTCGACGATTTCCTTACCGAGCTCGCATCAAAACACGCGCGCACTTCCGCATCGATATTTGCGATTCCTTTACATTCACAAGAGTTCTTTTCCATTTTGTTAATCCTTTAACGTTGAGAGATCTCCAGTTCTTTACTCCTTTTAATTGCTAAGCAATTCATTTTTTTTCATTGCAAATCGTTACTTCATTTTTTTTTCAAATACCAATATAATTCTAGCGGTTAAATGTCTCGGAAAAATGTTTTGTTAAAACAAGAAATCAATTATCCACGGTACAAAGAGTATATTAATATAATAAGAAAGCCACTATTCACACACTCGCATAAAATATGATAAGGAAATAGAGAGAGCTAACGCACATCGCGGTCATATAGTTTTTGTCAAACATTAAAGGATTAAAGATAGACGTATTTTGAAGTATATTATTTGCAATCTAATTGAAATTTTTCTTAAGTGTTTCAACAGTGCGTGCGTGTCTCGAAATGTAAGCGCGACCAATGAGCGGATGACAATCGTGATGAAAAGTGTAGTCCTTTCATGCAATCATAGATCCGCTAATTTCATTGGTCGTGGAATCGCCAAGGGATAAACGTATGTTAAATCATATACTCGCTAGCCACGTTTAATGTTCCTTCGTATGGATAAAACTTTGATGGAATATGCACTTTGTGCATCCCAAAGAGGGATCTCTTTAATATTCGTAACAATATAAACACATGGCTAACGATTAAAAAAAAGTAGTAAGCGATCTATAAATACATTACGAGGCGTAAGCTCTGATACGAACAACATTGCAACGAACGACAGTGGAAAGCGAAACTAAGAGAAAAAAAAAGGTAGTTTCTAGAATCTTTTACGCGATTATCTTTGAACAGAAATCGATACGATATAAATCGTGTACAACCCGAGAACGATACGAGACTAAACGTTTGAAATATAAGCATCATAGTAGAATGGAATGTTACAACTTTTATATCTTACAAATCCTTTCGTGCCGACTTGTACTAAATAAGTTTGGGAAAATCTTTTTAATCAAAAAGAAATTCATTCGCGTAGTCATAAGTGATGTTTTGTTAATATTATAGATTTGTTTTCAAACAAATTCTTTTTTCATTATCGCGATTACAGCACAAAAGTTTCAATCGTGATCGCGCCGAACGTGACGATATTGTGAAGGTTTCTATCGTAATATTCTACAGGATGATACGGACATTAGAGAGGTTTCAATAATGATGCCATGTACAAGGTTCGTAGAAATTTCAGTTATGGCGCTGTACCAAATATATGATGTTATTGGTATTCTAGTACGCTTCAATCACAATATCATGTTGGCAGAAACGCGACATCTCGTATCGTTAGGCTGTCGGCTGTAAGGTTTCACCGAAATGTTTCCGTTTTTTCTTTCTATTCGATAGAGAAACAGCGGGACTCTTGTTAGAAATAAAAAATGGAAGACAGGAGCTCTAAGCGCGCTCGGCAGTGTATTCACAATCGCAATAACTGTACTCATAACTTAAAGATACGACTACGTGGAATCTCTGGAAAATGGCCTGGAACCGTTTCGTCGCGACCGCCTAAACTTTACCACGACACAAACTTCGTAGCTTGTAGCACGAGACTGGCAGAAGCAAGGTCGATTACATTTACGACATAGAATGTCCGTCTAAACCTGTCCATTTGCAAAGTTTCGCGAATCGAATACAAGTATCAGCAAATAGGAGCAAACACCAATTGGAAATTCTACAAGATTAACATGAGATTATATGACTGCCAGAGAATTAATTTCTTGCATCCTGATTAACGATGTTGAAAATTTGTCAATATCGCGACTAGATAAACTAATGATAAACTAGCGACTAATGATAAACATAGCCAATATAATCTGACGTTCACGTATCACGTAATATGCATTCAAAATATCGTTAACATATTTTGTTGTATTGTAAATTTCTTGCTGGTCTAATATTTTTTTTATATCATAAAAATTTGGAAAAACATACGATATGCATACGTCAAAGGTTCTTGCACGAAAACAGCCGCGAAAATAGATGTCGAGGCTACTTTGCCAGAGTCCAGCTACGAAAAAAAGGAAAGTGTACTCCATGCATAAGCCGTGGTACCATTAGCAGATCATCATTGGAGTCGCGCATCCGCTTCTTGCCGAGCTCGATGCTCGCCATACCGGCGCTCTGAAGTCCTCCGGGCATCGCAGCTGCCGGCACTCCTGATACTCCGCCAGCCAACGTACTCATTCCCGTCACGTTCGTCGGCATCGTCGCCGTCTGCGTTTTTTCGTATCGTTTCGTATCGTTTCGCATTTATTATTATTTTTTTTTTCATTTTCACACATTCATTCGGTTTTTCCGATTTCACGTTTTTTTTTTTTTTGAACATTTTTATACGTGTATACAGATTTCAGGTTTTTACAGCCGCATACACAGTTTTTCCGTACGTTGCCGTGCGTCGACCACATCCGTTTCCGTTTCGGCATTCCCGAGACATTTCCCAATCGAGACATTTTTTCGTTTTTCATGTGTTAGCATATTTATACATATTTTGTTGTGTGTATCGTTGCGGCGGTCGTAGCGATGGTGGCATATACATTTTTCCGTACATTTTCGGCACATGCGTGCGGTGGCATCGGTCGATCGTGCGTATTATTTACGTTGGTTTTTATTATTTGCGTTGATACAGTTTTTTTTTTTTTTTCCGAGTTTCGGTCAGCAATATTTCGCAGGCGTTAATTGGCAGGTAGCGAAGCGCACGAAGGTATTGTCAGCAAGCATGTAGAAGCATCATCAGGCGGAAGAGGGCAAGATAAAAATCAAAAAAAGAAAAACAGACCAGTTGAGGCTAAGGCAAGAAACGACAGTCGCGATAATATTCTTTTTGACTTATGTAAAAAAAAAAGAAACGAAAGAACACATACTCTTGCGCGTGCGTATATGTGTGTATACGTGTGTGCGTATGCGTGTAGACATATGTTCGCGTACAAGTGTAACACGCTTGCGAGTTCACGCGTGGCCCGCTGTATCGCGTTTATCAAGCTACTCTCTCTCGTCTTTCGTGAGCCGAAAACGTGTGCGCACATACAGACAACACACGCGTAACGCACACACGCGCCACACGCATATACGCGCACGGGATTTACAATATTTCTGCGTGGCTTGTGCGATCACGCGTAAGACGATACATCCGCCAATACGTTCCACTGCGTATAAATATACACCGCTCGAGTTACTCGCGCGTGTATCTCTGAATTACGTAACTACTCCCGTTTATCATGTCGTTCAATTGCTTATCATACGGATATCGTTCTCTTCTTTATCTTACTTTAATTTTTTACTTGTCTTTCTAATGCAAAACACGTTCGAACGAATTTCTAAGATAGCTAAGGATAGAAATATAAATTATATGCAAATTTTTATGCGCGACCTAGATATCTTTATACGTTTCGAGAAACATTGAAACTTCTGCTAGTGGAAATCCGCGAACGATTTGAATCCAACGCGCGATCGCAACCTTCTTCGTCCGATAAACGCGGTTATAACAATCATAAATCCGATTAAACATTTATATTATTCTCAAAACTTTAAAAAGATATTTTTTTTCATAAATCGTTGTAATATCCATTTTGGTACATAAAATCACGTTTTATATCAAAACACGTTGGATTTCTAATGATCGATAAATTAAGACTTGTTTAATACATGCGTATTTTAGCTAAATAACGCTTTTTTCCTTTTTTTCCACGTTTATCGGCCTTTCACTGCGTTACTCTTTGCATGTGGCAACGCGACGCCTCGCAGAAGGCAAGTTTCTACGAGACAGACGCGAGTATAAACATCACCGATTAATAGTAATAGCAATAATAATATAATAATGCTGCTGATAATAATAATAATGATAATGATAATAATAATAATAATAATAATAATAATAATAATAATAATTATAGCACGTTAGATAGGACCAACGGACGTAGCTGGCGTCAGCGTCAATCTGCGGGCTAATTGGCACTAATTCGTTATTTAATCGACATTAAGGAGAGAGACAGATAGAGAAGTGATATATCTATTTGACCGAGCACATTATCTATAGTGACTAAAAGAAAAGCGCAAATTTTAATAATACTGAAAAATCAGAAATTAGAATCGAACATAGAGCGTAGGGAAGCATGTAGATAAAGGTACGCGTAGTACGAAAGAGAACCGGTCCCACTTCATCGTCCATCGACATCGGGCTTTCGGCTGGCGTTTCTGACTGCTGCAACACCTGCAATAATCGAGGCACTCTCTCGAAGTTGATTAGTTTTGCGTCTCTGCCTCTCATAATCTATATTTGCATGTGGACATTCATGTAGATATAGGTATATATATATATAT